ACTACTACTACTACTACTACTACTACTACTACTACTACTACTACTACTACTACACTGAACAGTCTTTTACCTTGGCGATGCGAGGAACAGAGAATCAATCCTCATGTTCCCGATTGCGAACTTCCAAAAATCATGATCCCTCCTGGGTTTCCATGTCCTCTTTGGTAATACAACCAGTTCGTCCTCATCGTCATCGGCAGCAATAGCAGCAGCAGCATAACCATCATTATCACCTTCTCGATCGTCATCTTCAACATTATCTTCAACAACAGAATCCCGCAGCGCGTTTTGTTTTTCCACTTCGGGAATCTTCGGCAACTTTCCGGAAACGTCTTCTTTGGGAATCCTCGGTTTCCTCTTTGGTTTCACTTCGGTCATTATCTCCGTCTTCACTTCTGGCTCGTTTTCAGGCTTACTGGGCCATACTATGATGGCCGGGCTTCTCCTGAGGGTGGGGATTTTCTTGGGGTTAGCGAAGACTTCTCGTGTCTCTGTGGACATTTATTGGCAACACCGTTAGTTCATAGTCATTGTGTGTGTGTGTGTGTGTGTGTGTGTGTGTGTATGTGTGTGTGTGTGTGTGTGTGTGTGCGCGTGTGTGTGTGTGTGTGCATGTGTGTGCACGCGCGCACGCGCGCGCGTGCATGTGTGTTTTTGATTTATTATCATTATCATTATCGTTATCATTACATGTATCACTATTCTTATTTTCTTCTTATTATCATTATCATTATCATCATCATCCTCTTGAACGAGCATTGAAAGTCCTATCGGAATCTTGATTTCTCAAGCATCGTTTCGTTGCCAATCTGTTTGTGAGTATAGTGCATGACTGCAGGAGTGTTGATCCCTGTTCCAATCCCTGATAAGCCATTTTAGTACACGGGTCGTTCAAAAAGTTTTGCCTCCAAGCTCATAATTTCTTTATTACTGATGTTATACATCAAATGAAAGTTTAAGATGTGTGCTACATGACAGTACCTTTACCTTTCAACATAGTCGCCTTCTTTGTCCCTGCAGATCCACCAACGTCGAATAAGTTGTCGCATGCCGTCGGCGAAAAATTCAAAATTCGTGTGGTTTTCCTCTGAACCAGCGACGCACATCTTCTTGAGCTTCATCGCCATCTGCATAACGTTTTCCTTTGAGGTACTCCTTCAATTTCGGAAAAAGATAGAAGTCAGATGGAGCAAGGTCTGGACTGTATGATGGGTGCGGAAAGGTATCTTGAAATCTGAGACTTTTCATGGCATCTTGAGTTTGTCGACTCGTGAGCAGACGGGCGTTGTCGTGGTGCAAAATTGCATTTTTTACGGACCGAACTCGTGACAGGCGTGCTCTAAGTTTTCTCAGGATCTCAATACATGTATATCGTTCATAGTTGATAGTGGAGGTCTGTTCCAAAAATTCCATATGAATCAGACTATCGCAGTCCCAAAACACTGTCATAAGCCCTATCTTTGCAGATGAAACAACTTTGAACTTCTTGGGGCTAGATGAGCCAGTGTGCCTGTATTCCTTCGATTTTCTTTAGTTCTCTGGGTCATAATGGTGTACCCAAGTCTCATCTCCTGTGACTATACGGCGTAAGAAAGCTTCACCTTCATCGGTATAACGAGCCAGGAGTTCATTACTAACTTGACTTCAGTTCAATTTCAGCTCGGGTGACAACATGTGGGGAACCCACCGTGCACACACTTTCCTGTAACCCTACGTACTACATCATGGATAATACACCGAGCACTACTTACAGAAATCCCTAGCATTTCACTAACATCTCTTACTTTGATCCGCCGGTTTGCTTGGATGATCTCATTCACTCTCTCCTGGTGTTGAACATCACTGCCAGAGTTGGGACGACCACATCGAGCTTGGTCAGGCAAATCTGTCTCTGCTGGACTGGTTTCAGCGAACTCCTTTGCCCATCTTCGAACAGTACTTACATCTACACATGCTTCACCATAGACAAGCTTTATTCGCTAAATGATCATCAATGGGTGCAGCTCCCTCTGCAGTAAGGAACCCAATAACAGCTCTTTGCTTTAAGCGCATATTCATAGATTTGCGGGGCGCCATTTTCTCGGCGACAATGTACCCTAGCTTCATTGATGTAAACAGCAATAGCATAAAAGTGTGACATCATAGTATAATTCTGGGGGGGGTTGGGTTGAGAGTATACTTATTGAAAGTCAATTGTGTACAAATTTCATGAAGATATCTTGAATAATTTAGAAGTTATTGAAGAGGAGGCGAAACTGTTTGAACGACCCTCGTAGGGCGATGTACACTGTAAGGTCATAAAAAAAGAATGGACGTCCGATTTTGCCGTCCATCTGCGACAGCACTCGATTAATGGGCGCAGAGCCTTGAAAACTCCCTAAATCACCCAAGTTGAAAATGCCCCACCGTTTGTTTTTCGTGTGTCTGTTTGTTCGTCTTTGTTTTATTTTGTATGTGGGTGTTTTACCGCTAACATCGACACGATTTCTATCGTTTTGGAAGCGAACCTCCCGCCCTGCCAGTCGTGGCCAACCCTGGTCGAAAAGGACACAACATCCCAGCAGAAAGACCGAGGTACTCGATAAAAAAAATAGTACACGTTCTCCCCTGAGCCAGCACACTTCTCTCTGTGGGCCTAGGTTCTCACTCATTGCGGGAATCGAATTCGGGTCTCCTGTATGCGGCAGCAAAGCACCTTCCCTTTCCACCACAGGCTCCTGTTGTCCCACTGTTAAGCTGAACACGAATCATCGGTACCTCAGCTCAACTAGATACCAACTGAGCTACCAGGACGTTCAGATTATTTTTAATGTAAGTAACTCGGCCAAGTGCCATAACTCTCTCCGCTCTTCCTAGGTCCCAACTGTGAACTCCACCTCTCTGCCTATCTCGACACGTCACCTGGCATCACCCTCGTCTCACCTCACATCACTTACCTCCCCCTCCCTCAACGGTCCTAATGTCTTACCTGCGGGTGGTTGGCAGGTGCTCTCTCGTGGATTTTGCTCCTTCTTTCCTACCAAACATCGTTGGTCATTATCTCTCCTTTTTGAAAAAAAATCTGGTGTGTGTGTGCGCGCGTGTCGTTGTGTGTGTGTGTGTGTGTGTGTGTGTGTGTGTGTGTGTGTGTG